CTGGTAGAAAGCACAGGCGGGCCTGGGAGGGAAGCAGGCATGGAAGCCACGCACGTGTGTGTAGGACTACGGCTGGGCCGCTTCACGGCTGGGTCTTTGGCTCTGCAGATGGAAGAATTGCGGTTGCAGCTATTGCAGGAGAAGGACACCAACCAGGAGTGGGAGACCTTCACTGAGGAGCTCGTGAAAGAACTAGAGCAGCTGCGCCATGAAGTTGACACCCTGAAGGCAGACAGAGCCCTGCAGGTAGGCCCCCAAGAGCGCATGCCTCCCCTGGCACCCCTGCCTGCAAGGGGGAGCATCCAGGTCACAGCCATGTCCTGGTCATTGATCAGTGATTCCTGGGTGACCAGTTTCCTCACCCAGCTGCAGCTCAGACCAGCAATCCTCAGCTGCAGCAGAGGGATGGGGACAGGTATTGCCTCCCAGGGACACTAGCCATCTTGTTTTGGATTGACAAGACCTGGGGGAGGAGAGGGAAGGTGCTCCTGGCTGTGGTGTGGTGAGGCCAGGGATGTTGCTCAGTGTCCTGCAGCCCCTGGGACAGCCCCGCAGGACAAAGAACGATCCTGCTCCAAATGTCCAGGGTTACCCTGGGAACCCTGGGTGGATTCGCCTGGCACTACAACAAGTGCCAGGGAAGGCAGCCCAGCACTGGGGCAGCGGCTCAGTGATGCCACCCAGGGGCCAGGCTTCCCTCTTCCCTCTCTGCCAGCGTTGTCAGTGGCTGTTGTATCTACCCAGGAAGTGGGCAGGAAGGTTTTTCCTTGAGAAAAGGCCTGTTGAAGTGTTACTTGGGTTGACACATTTGGGCTTTGCTTTAAAGTAAAGTTCACTCCATGAAACGGACTTTCACACGGGCTGAGTCTTTGGCTCTGCAGATATTGGAGTTGGAGAGGCAGCTGCAAATAGAAAAGGACAACAGCCAGAACTTAGAGAACATCAATAAGGAACTATTGAAAGACCTAAAGCAGGTGCTCGATGCAGTAGACACCGTAAAGGCAGAGGCCCCACAGGTAGGCCCCCAGAGTGCATGCCTCCCCTGGTGCCCCTGCCTGCAAGGGGGAGCGTCCAGGGTCACAGCCGTGTCCTGGTCATTGATCAGTGATTCCTGGGTGACCAGTTTCCTCACCCAGCTGCAGCTCAGACCACCAATTCTCAGCTCAGCAGGGGGATGGGGACAGGTATTGCCTCCCAGGGACACTGGCCACCTTGTTTTTGATGGACAGGACTTGGGGGAGGAGAGGGAAGGTGCCCCTGGCTGTGGTGCGGTGAGGCCAGGGATGCTGCTCAGTGTCCTGCAGCCCCTGGGACAGCCCCGCAGGACAAAGAACGATCCTGCTCCAAATGTCCAGGGTCACCCTGAGAACCCTGGGTGGATTCGCCTGGCACTACAACAAGTGCCAGGGAAGGCAGCCCAGCGCTGGGGCAGCGGCTCAGTGATGCCACCCAGTGGCCAGGCTTCCCTCTTCCTGCTCTGCCAGCGTTGTCAGTGGCTGTTGTACCTCCCCGGGAAGTGGGCAGGAAGGTTTTTCCTTGAGAAAAGGCCTGTTAAAGTGTCCCATGGGCTGACACGTTTGGGGGTGGCTTTAAAGTAAAGTTCACTCCGTGAAACGGACTTTCACACGGGCTGGGTCTTTGGCTCTGCAGATGTTGGAGTTGGAGAGGCAGCTGCAAATAGAAAAGGACAACAGCCAGAACTTAGAGAACATCAATAAGGAACTATTGAAAGACCTAAAGCAGGTGCTCGACGCAGTAGACACCCTACAGGCGAAGGCCCCACAGGTAGGCCCCCAGAGTGCATGCCTCCCCTGGCGCCCCTGCCTGCAAGGGGGAGCATCCAGGATCATAGCCGTGTCCTGGTCATTGATCAGTGATTTCTGGGTGACCAGTTTCCTGGCTCAGCTGCAGCTCAGACCAGCATTTCTCACTGTGGCAAGGGGATAGGGATAGGTGTTGCCTCCCAGCGACACTGGCCATCTTGTTTTTGATTGACAGGACTTGAGGGAGGAGGGGGAGGTGCTCCTGGCTGTGTTGGGTGGATGGTTGTTCTGTAAATATCAGGGTAAATTGGTTGGTAATGCTGTTCAGATATTCTATGTCCTTACTAATTTTCTATTACTCTTTTCTTCAATAGGCTTTTCAAAGTAGTCAAAGAGGGCACCCAATGAGCTTATGCAGAGAAAGGGCATAATTTGCCCAAAAAAGGTCACATGTGTAGCACCTTGTGATAGTCCGTCTATTCTGTGGGCCTTCCCAGTGCAGTTCCTTAAGTGCCGGTAGAACTGCCCTCAGCACAGCTGGGGGTTTCCTGCCCTGAGGGCCCCTGCTATTTTGGTGCCTTGCTCTTGGCCCCTCACTGCATGTGGGGGTGCGGGGATGCAGAGTCTGTGACTCCCGGGACTGGCACCGGTGAGGCATCATCACCTTTTCCCTCCCAGCAGCTGGACCCTTCCCTTCTGGCCTCCAAGAACCAGCAGGCGGCCAAGGAGAGGGAGTGGGAGGAGCTGTACGAGCTGCTGGAGCAGCTGATTCAAGTCCACGAGGCCCTGCGGCAGGACCACGCATGCCTGGGGGCGCTCCATGACCAGCTGTCTGGGCAGTACCAGGCCCTCGTGGAGGAGCACAGCCGCCACAAGACCCTGCTGCGCCCTTCCCTGGAAATGGCGAGCAAGGCGTTCAGGCGTAGGTGGGTGCCGGCAACGGTCGGGGTGACTAGCGAGCTCTCCAGGCTCCCGTCCCCCTTTGCTCTGGCCCCTCGTGGTTCCCCTGGATCTGCTGCTTCACAGGAAGAGAAGTGAATGGAACGTCCCCCTCAGCGATGTGGGGTGGGTGCAGCTGGAGGCTGAGGGGCAGGAGGGTCCCTGAGGGGAGATGGGTGTGCCCAGCTGATCCCGGCTCAGGGAAACCATGTGTCAGCATTGGGGTCCCTGCTCCCCTGGGGACTCGTGCCCCCTCTTCCTCCTCCTCTTTCTCTTCCCTGCAACCAAGAACAAGGAGGGACATTCACCACAGCTGCCGATGTACAGGGACGTGCCTTGCCAGCTTCCAGGCCTTTTCTTCCCTGTCACAGTCTCAGAGTCTGTGCTTCTCTGTGTGTGTGTGTGTGTTTGTGTGTGCTTCTGTGTGTGTGTGCTTCTGTGTGTGTGTGCTTCTGTGTGTGTGCTTCTGTGTGTGTGTGTGTGTGTGTGTGTGTGTGTGTGTTTAACTTTTAATTTTGGAAACTTTTGAATGTATGGAAATGTACAGAATTGTGTAGTGAGAGCCCCATGTACTCATCCCTGACGTCAGTACTGGAATACTCTGTCATTCTCATGTCACCTTCACCTCTGACTCTCCACCTCCATACTCCTTTTTTAAGGTAAAATCGACATACATTGAAATGCACAAATCTCAACTTTACGCTTCTGCCCGATCAGGGCTTTGTGTGTCAGCCGTCGCCCAAGCTCCTGCTCCGGCAGATCCCGATTGATCCAGGTCCGGGGCAGGTGCAGCAGGACCCAGAGGCTGGGGGAGGTGTGATGTGCACGGGATTCCAACTCAGGGGAGACGGGAGAGATGTGGCTAAAGAGAGGCTCCCACACTTGGAGCAGCACAGGAGAGAGCTGTCTATCGTCCACTCCCTGTGCTTGTGAGACATCCCTGCTCACAGTATTTCCCTCGATTCCTCCTCAACAAGGCGCTGAGCAAATGTGGGGTCTTCAGTAGTGGGAGCAGCTGAGGTGCAGGGATTTGGCATCACAGGGACCAGGAGGGCACTGAGCCTGCAGAGCCTGCTGAGGGTGCCTGCTGCTGCATGAACTTGGGGGAGATGACGTTCATTTACACACTCACCCAGTGCTTCCTGTCCACTCTCCGGGGCCTCCCACCCCCTTTATCCTCTCAGGTGCCCATCCTTCGGGGGTGCCGAGATGTCTGCTCCTATCAGACTGTCGTTCCTTTCAGCCAGAATGAGCATCTTCTGCCTCTTGGCATCCCCCTCTCTGCCTCCTCCTGCACCCATCCCACATTCACGTGATGCTTAGTGAGCATCTAGGGGGCGCATGGTGCTGTGTGTAGATGTGGTGGGAATGCACCCAGCTGACTAATGATGGGAAACTCCTGAGGTGCCCACCCCTCACCAAGCACCTACCAGCTTTATCCTTCAGGCCCTATCTATACTAATAAATGGGTAATATGCTAATTAGTCTGACCAGACATGTCCTTCCTGACAAAGCTGGGACTTGGACAAAGCTGCCAGGGGTCCCAGGTGGGGGTTCAGGGCACCCGCAGCTGGCCTAGGCAAAGCTGCTGGAGGTTCTGGGCGCCTATGGCTGGCCAGAGGGAGGGAAACCCGGATCCCGGGTGCGGGGACTGAGGCAGAAGCAGTTAGGGGCGATCAGGCAAGCAGGCAGAGGTGGTTAGGGATGATCGGGCAAGCAGGCAGAGGTGGTTAGGAGATAAGCAGCAGGGTAGGGTGATCAGGCAGGCAGGCAGGCAGAGGTGGTTAGGGGTAATCAGGCAGGCAGGCAGAAGAGTTAGGAGCCAGTGGTCCCAGATTGTGAGAGGAATGCCCGGATTGGAGAGGGTGCAGGCTGGGCTGAGGGACCCATCCTCCCGTGCACAAATTTCGTGCACCAGGCCTTTAGTGATTTATTATAGCAGTGACGTGATATTCTTAATGTCTGCTCACACGGGGAAGGTTTGTGCAGGTGGCATCTGACTGGTTTGAAGGAGGAGTTCATTGTCGCTCTGCCGGTAGCTCCTCGCTTGATAGGCCTCCTGTGTCACTCAGTGAGTTTGCTGGTTGCACGGGGAGCTGGAGCCCTTGGTGTGTCTGCAGCAGGGCTGCAGGTTAGAGGTGGAGGTGCCTGGAACACGATTCATTTCACTGGACACCTGACTGGGACCCTCACTCCTTCGCTCCCTGGCACACGTTTCCTGGGTGTCAAGCTTCGTCCCAGAGCCTCAGGGGAGTGAGGCTCACAGTCTCTGCCCTGCAGGAGGGTGGTTACTAATGGTTGCGATATGCTTGATCCTGTGCTTTTCCAAGACACAACAGGGAAGCAGGAGGTGGGGGCCCTAATGGTCCATGGCCACTTGGCAAAGCTGTATGGCTTTTCCCAGAATTGTTTATCTGGAGGAGAACGATCACCACCCTGAAAGCCAGGCAGGTCCCCCACCCCCACTGGCCACTTCCCACGTCGGGGCAGCCTCCGCCCGTGGCTAACGGCCACAGGAGGCTTGTCTTTCAGCAGCCTCCACAGCAGGTTTCTGAGTCTGAGTCCCCCCGAGTCTTGGCTCCTGGCAGATGGTACAAGGACAGCTGATGGGAGTGGTAGAGTGGAGGTGGAGGGCTGCAGACGGAGGCTGCAAACCCTGGAACCTGGGTGGTCTCTGTCAGCCTGTCTCTGGGTGTGGACATCTCAGGAAGGGGGTCTGGAAAGGGATTTGCCTGCCTGGGGAAGAGCGAAAGGGGATGAGTCACGAGGAGCTGCCGAGTCACCTGACCGGGAGGTTCCAGCAGGCCGGAGGGACAGCCAGGGGCTGGTCAGGGGCTCCCTCTTGTGCTCTGCAGCCTCCAGAGAGGCTGTGCTGGACCCTGTAAGCACTGAGAGGGGAAGAAAATAAAAGCCCTGAGTGAGGGGGAGGGTAAGGGCTGGACTGGGGGTGCCATGAGGAGCAGGGCGTGTGGGTGTGCATGTGCCTGTGTGCCACTGGCCCCTGGCAGCTGCTTGGGGACCGGCCTCTGGCCCCATGCTGCCTGGCTCAGCCCAGGGAGACTCTGTTCCTTAGCTGGGCAGAGGGCTCCACTGGCCCCGGGGAGGGGGCCAGCTGTCCCGTGGGTGGAATTCCCTGAATCTGTGCTGGTTTCTGTGAGAAGGGCAGGGAGTTCAGAAAACAGTGTTGGTGTTCCCAGCGGGCTAACGGAGAGAGGCTGCTTACCCAGGGACTGGAAGGGACCCTGGAGAAGGGTCGGGTGGGAGGAGGGACTCGGCTCCAGGGCTGGAGGAGACCCATGTCCATCTCCGCCGCCCTCAGCTCTGCAGAGAGAAGCCGCTCCCGGAGGCTGTGCAGTCTCCTGTGTGGGTGCCTAGCGGGTGTTTCCCTCCTCAGGGAGCAGGACCAGCGCCAACACGAGCAATCCCTGCAGGAGCTGGGGAAGCTCCTGAACACCCAGAGGGAGGCTCTGAAACAGGAGCAGGAGGCGAACGCCCTGGCCGCCCAGGAGGAGGAGAGGCTGCGGCAGGAGCTTGACAGGTAACCGCCTCCGCCCCCTGCAGCGCCTCTGCCAGGTTTCATTCAGAGCAACTCACTCAGCACCCGCTGAGCTGAGCTCCAGTGAGACCCCTGGTGACGGTGTATTTTTACCAGCCCTGTCATGGTCACAGCTGGACGGTCACAGGTGAAGGCACGCCAACTGGTGGCCGGGAGGGGAGGGCTGGCGACACTGGGATGCTGCAGTGTCTAGGCCTGGTGACCTCCCCTGCACCGTGATGATGGTGATGATTGTATCGGGCGAGGGCCCCTTCATCCTCCACCACCAGCTTCCCCGTGAGGGAGAGGCGCTCGGTCCCCGGCATTCACGCATTCCCTCTTGGTGAATTCACCTCCTCCCTGAAATGCACGTGAACCCCCAAATCGGCAGCCGTAGCCTTTCATGGGCCTGTCCAGAGTGGGAGATACTGGAGTCGCCGATGGGCACGTTGCAGGGGAGGCTGAACAAGACCTTTGGCTCCTGCCTTGTTTCAGCTCTCACACTGCAAACCAGTGTCCCTTTTGTGGCCCATTGAGTGCCATGGAGTTCTATTTTCATGCTTTTTGATGGTGATGTCACTGTTTGAAATGACCCCCAAATGGAGTGCTGCAGTGCTGTCCAGTGTCCCCAAGTGCAAGTCTGCGCTGAGCCTCATGGGGAATAAAGGAGCGGCATTTGAGACTCACAGGAACCGGCGGGGACAGGTTCAGTTTCCACTAAACGAGAGTTCTCGGTGGTTTGATAGGACATTATACAGTGAACCATGAGAATTAACTGCGTTATTTTTATTCCTCTTTAAAAAAAAAAGATGAGGAAAGAGGCTCAGCGAGATTCAATAACTTGCTCAAGTTCATGCTCCTAGTTAGTGGCCCAGTCAGGATTCAAATCCAGGTCTTGTCTCAACCCAGAGGCACAGCGATATGAAGCCTTCCTTCCCACAGCCTTGTTCTAATATGTATTGGGGGCTACAGACTCAGGTGCCTCCAGGGCCAGGCAGGTCCAGCCGGTGGGGAAGGAGTGTCAGCGTTAGAGCAGAACTGGTGGGGAACACACAGCCTCTGAGGGCTGTCAGCTGGGGGGCAGGCCCGGGCTGCCAGGTCATTCTTTTTTTAATCTTTATTTTTTTAATCCTTACCCCAGGACAATGTTTCCATTGACTTTTAGAGAGAGTGAAAGGGGGAGAAGGAGAGGGGGAGAGAGAGAGAAACATCGATGCGAGAGAGTCACATCTTTTGGATGTCTACAGCACACACCCCAACTACACTGGGGAGCAAACCCACAACCCAGGTCCGTTCCCTTGACTGAGACCTGAAGCCATGACCCTCTGTACATGGGCTGATGCTGTGACTACTGAGCCACACCTGCCAGGGCCTTTTGTTTATGCTTTCTCCCCACCCTCTGAGAAGCTAGATACCTGAATGTTAATGTGAAACTTAAAATTTTTAAATATTGATGAACTAATTAATTCAAATGGAAAAAGACAGGTGATGTGGGCTGAACAGGGCACATCTGTGTCCAAATTGAGTCCATGAGCCTCTGGTCATGTGAGCTTTCTGGTCTAAATCTTCCCCCTGATACCCAGTCGGGCAGTTATGACGACGATGATGATGATTTCAGTGGATTTACCTAGTAGTCCCGAGTCTCATATTTTATTTGTCTCAGGAGTGAAATTAGAAAGGGGCTTGGAATTGGGGGGAAGAGCTGGGCATAGACACACAGATTTAGAGCAAACATGTTCTGACTCCATGTATTTCAAAAGTATTTCAGTCGAAGAGCCCTTTGTTCCACGTCGGCAGGAGAACTTAGAAGAAGAAAAAGATAACCTCAAGAGCCAGATTGACACATTGGCCACCAGGAACAGGCAGCTTGAGAATGAGGACAAAGCTCAGCCAATGTAAGGGGTGTGGGCTGCCCTGTCAACAAAGGGGTCCTGGCTTCCAGCCCTGCGCCTTGGCCTCGACATTCTGGGCAGAGAGCCCCCTGGCGCACTGGTGTCCCAAGGGAAGGGGATACACCATCTTCCCATTGCATCCTCCTCTCTTTTTCCCTGGAATGGTTCTAGATTTCTGCAAGTAGGGGTGGTTGGCTTTTCAAAGATACTGCCCACTGCCTGATGGTTCTTAATCTACCTTTGGAATTCAGTTCAGTTTAAAAAATATGATGGCAGTAAAGTGTGGTGACTAGGGAAGGAATCCAGATTACAGGTGGAGGTTTTTCTGTGTGTTTTCCCTTAATGAGCTGGGGAGAGGGTTGTTGGTGCACCGTGGTTTTCCTCCCTCTGCCGACATGACACATTCCTGGCTTTGGCGTAGACCCTGCGAGGTGCACAGAACCAGTGACCTGGTGGCCAGGAACTAGTAGGCGTGATGGGATGTGAGCAGAGCTGTGTGCACACAGACAGATGTTGAGGAGCTTCATAGAGGCCTAGAAGGAAGCATGGTGGTGGGAGTTGGGGTGCTGCTGCTGACCCGGATGGGGACAGGGCTGGCTGGTGCGGGGACATGGAGCACGGGTGGTCTGGATGCAGGGAAGGGGCAGGCAGTGGCAGGAGGGAGGCTGCAGCAGGCGGCGCTCAGCTGGGGAAGGCGCCCATGCCCAGCTAAGGAGTCCGGTTCACTGGGAAGTGAGTGTTTATGGGAAGCTGGTCTACAGGCCTCGGAGCTGCCAGGAAGGAGGGCGGGAGGAAGGGCCTTGGTGTTGGAAGCCTTGTGGTTGGAAGTCCAGTAACCCGAGATGCATCTTGTGGGTCCAGGGTGGTCTTCCCCCCTCGGTGCTGTGCTGCGGGACTGTCCTTCCTTGTGGTCAGGAATGGCTGGCCATGGGGGACAGAGGGACTTGGTCACAGTGAACCTGGGGCACTGTCCCAGCTCCCTGGGTAGCGGGGCGGGGCTACTTTACTCTTCTCTTGGATTCTTCTGCTCATCTACAGGTGGTTGCACCAACCCAGGATGGTTCACGTGGAAAGCCACACTGTAGTTTTGGGGCAGAAATGACTGTGGCCTGAAGTTGGCTCTCTGGGACGCAGCGGGTAAAAATTACCAGCAGAGGTTGGGCAGGTGCCAAATAGAAGAGTCGGGTCCTGGTGCCCAGGGGGGGATCTGATGATGGTTTTGCATTAGACAGGCCTGCAGGAGGCCAGGATGATGGCAGGCTTGCTGAGCCTGCTCCGAGCGGAGTCTTCCCCAGTCCTGGGAGGGTTGTGGCGCCTGCCCTCCGTGAGTTTGTGCGTCTGGGGGTGGAGGGTTGGTCCGAGCCAGACAGGAAAGCGCTCCAGCGTAAGGCCAAGCAGCACGGCGGTGGGAAGAGAACAACGCAGACTAGAACAGCGCCCAGGGCGCTAGGAGCAGAGCAGGACCGGCGGTTAGGGGTCCAGTGGTGTGGGAGCCACCACTTTCCATGGGATGCTTACTTCACGGTGAACTCACAGAAATGTCCTCGTGTTGGTGGGACCTTGGCAGCTTCACGACTGACGGAGTCTGAGCAGCTGCCTCGACCCAGCGGACTCATTTTCCAGCAAGGAAACCAGGGTCTGAGCTGTCAAGGCCCATGGGTTTCCGACCCTGAGTCCCACATAGTTTGGGGCTTGCTCTCTGCAGACGACGTTCAGCTTGACCCTCGGTGCTTCAGCAGGCCTCCTCCACGTGTTAGGGTTCCCGGACCCACGTCATGTGCTTTCACCCCCATTTTCCTGACTCAGCAATCACAAGGCCATGAGCATCCTGATGTCTGATTCCCAGGAAAATGCCGGCCCTTCCTGGCCAGGTCCCAGGCTGGGCTGAGTCAATTTACGTGTTTTATTTTAAAAACCAGATTGCTTCTCTTTCTCTTCTATTTACAGAGAAGAAGGAAAACAAGAGGGGGAGGGCACAGTCCTGGACGCCTACGAATCCAAGGACCCTGCTCCCAGGAAGTGAGTTGATTTAATGGCAGTAACTGTAGCACAGAACAGAACGCTTGCTCTTTCACGAGTGGGGAAAGCTGTAGCATCTAGAGCAGTGACCAGTTTGTTGGGCCCGCATCTTCCCCTCTATGGCAGGTCCAGAGTGGGGTCTGTGTGAATTCACTGCAAATTGTGTTCTACCCCCTGAGCCCCACATACAAAGATCATGGTGCTGGCGAAGAGCTCCATCCTTCTGAAGTGGCTGATTTACAGCCACTTGCCCAGATGGAGGGACAGTGAGGGTTGGCAGAGTCCTAAGCCTCTACTTCTAATAGGAAAAAGCGCTGGATCGGAGCCAGAGCCTTTATCAAACTCTTCAATCACAAAAGCAGCGGTTCTAGAGAACCAGCGGAGCCGTCCCCAGACCGCCCTCCCGGGCCCCTGGAGGCCACGCCATCATGCTCATACCGGATGGAAGAGCGAGACGCCCCCAGTGTGCCTGTGGGAAAAGGTAGGAGGAGTGCCTTGGCTCCAGGTGGGAAATGAAGGGGAGGACCTCAGGCCTCCCTCCCGGACTGGGCAGCACCAACGAGATGGCATGCTGGGTGTGCACACGTGTGTAGGCGCCTGAAGGGGGTGTGCCTCCTCTTAGGTATGTGAACAGCCAAATAGAAAATATAAACCCACGTCAGTGTTGTGGGAGTTTCGTCCCAGGACAATTTAGTTCCTTTAGCACGAGAAGCCTCCTTTAGCACGAGAAGCCCATCACATATAGTTGGTAGGTCCTGGAATATACAGTGCGGATCTCCATAGAGTTAACGCAGAGAGAGCTCAAGAGGGTAAGTTTTTGGGTTTCCTTGTATCTGCCAGACCTAGGACAAGCCATGTCTGGAGGGATATCCCCTGCATTTAACATGTAATGGACATGCACAAGGTCTTCAGTAAGGCCTCGAGGCTCTGGTCTTGCCTTCCCTCTGAAAATCGGTTCTCTTCTCCCACCTTCCTGGCCTTGATTCCTGTCATCAGGGGGCACTGTACCTGGACATTTAGGGCTGGGATGGGAGTGAGCCAGAGGTTCCGAAATTGATTTCTAGTTGCATGTGCTGCGTATGTTTCATCGGATCTAAGAGGCTGGCAGTTGTAAGATGTATGACTATGTGATCATAAAAAGGAAATGAACGGGTGGTGGCAGTGATGATTTTGTCAGAATTGCCACCTAGCCGACCGAGATGGGAGAGATGCTCGAAGCTGCATCCTGATTTCAGAGATGTAAGGTTTGGGGGTGAAATGTGCATCTTACAATCGATTAAACAAAGCCATTGTCTTAAATGTGGTTTCGTCTTCAAATTCATGTTTAAATATCATTGTATACATTATTTACCTACAAACCTGCCCAACAAGCCTCCTGAGAAAGTAAATTTTATGAAGGACACTAGAGCTTTCTGAGGACCAGGGCCTGCCTGAGACTCGTGTGCTCTCAGCGGCTGGCGTTACAGTAGCTGACAGGGCCCAGGGCCTGTGCCAAGCCGCCTTCTGAGTGTGACGTGTGCACAAGCCTCTCCAGGTGGCAGTCACCACTTCCAGTCCCGGTGTGTCACTAGAGATGCTAAAATGAGGTGTGCACACGCATGCCCACTGTTTGGGGACTAGTGCTTGCATGCCCAGTCTTTACAGCAGGTGAATTAGGTCAAAAGCTCACGTGCAGGTAAATGATCATGAAGCTTTCATACTGGCTCCTTAAATGTTGTGACATTTCTCACCTCAACTTGTGTTATTGTCTAAGTTGACATAATGACTATAATCAGCCTAATGGAGTTGGCAAACCTTTCAGAGAAAAAAATGTTTGACTGATCCAGACTGTCGTCGGGGTCCATGAATGGGCAGGTCATTCTTAAATGTGAGTAAGAACAGCTGTGCAATGGTGCTTCCTGGGCTCAGCACCCTTTAGGCAGTTGACCCGCTCTGTCTATCGCATTTGGTTCTAACTGCCGGGTGAGGTCGGCACCATTCCTGTCCCCTGTTCAGAGCTGGGAAAGTGAGGTTTGCCAGGGTTAAGCACTGGCCCTGAGAGTAAGTGTTGGAACTGGGATCCGAACCCGGGTCTGACGGATACGCGGCCTGAACTTTAACCCCTTTGAGCACTGCCTGCACTTCAAGCTGCTTTGGTCCCTGAAGATGCTGAACCCTCCTGGGGTCCCAGCATTGAGTAGTGGGCCCTTATCCTGTGGTGGGAGCTGTGGTCAGCAGGTGGCGCTGTGGGGAAAAGAAGTAACCAAGGTGCGTCTATGGCTGTGGTTCTCAACCTTCCTAATGCCGCCACCCTTTCATACAGTTCCTCATGTTGTGCTGACCCCAACCATAAAATTATTTTCCTTGCTACTTCATAACTGTAATTTTGCTACTGTTATGAATCGTCATGTAAATATCTGATATGCACGATGTATTTTCATTGTTACAAATGGAACATAATTAAAGCATAGTGATTAATCACAAAAACAATATGTAATTATGTATGTGTTTTCCGATGGTCTTAGGCGACCCCTGTGAAAGGGTCTCTCGACCCCCAAAGGGGTCGCGACCCACAGGTTGAGAACCGCTGCTCTATGGACTTGAATCCTTAATCAGAAATCGGGTGAATCAGTTATGTTCATGTACATGACATGCTCAGAAAGTTAGACCAATTGTCTGCTCTGGTCAGACTGTAATTTAAAGGCCATGAGGGTAGGTTTAGAGTCGAGGATATGTAGGAATCTAAACAGGAATATTTTTTCAAAATATATTTTTTATTGATTTCAGAGAGGAAGGATAAGGTATATAGAAACATCAATAATGAGAATCATTGATTGGCTGCCTCCTGCATGCCCCCTACTGGGGATTGAGCCACATCCTGGGCATGTGCCCTTGGCCGAAATCAAACCTGAGACCCTTGAGTCCGCAGGCCTATCCTCTATCCAGGGAGCGAAACCAGCTAGGGCTAAACAGGAATAATTCTTTTTTTTTTTTTAAATATATTTTATTGATTTTTTACAGAGAGAAAGGGAGAGAGATAGAGAGTTAGAAACATCGACGAGAGAGAAACATCGATCAGCTGCCTCCTGCACATCTCCCACTGGGGATATGCCCGCAACCCAGGTACATGCCCTTGACCGGAATCGAACCTGGGACCCTTCAGTCCGCAGGCCGACGCTCTATCCACTGAGCCAAACCGGTTTCGGCAGGAATAATTCTTGATGTTGAAGGTGTTTTGGCATCCAAAAGAGGTAGAGCTCTAGCTATTTTGGCAGAGGTAGGTACTCTCATTATTTTCAAACTTATCCTCTCTCTCTCTCTCTCTCTCTCTCTCTCTCTCTCTGTCTCCTCCCCCATTTCCACATTCTCTCTAAAGATCAATGGAAAAAATATCCTCCAGTGAGGATTTAAGAAAAAAAGTATTAGTGAAGAGTTGAGGTCGACAGTTTTACTACAGAAACATACCGTTACGTGTTCCAAGGTCGTTGAACAGGAGCAGGAGGTAGTGTGTGTCACCACGGTGTCAGGAAGCCTGTCATGAAAAGGGATGAGTAAGCCCAGCCGGTGCAGCTCAGTTGGTTGAGCATCGTCCCATGAACCTGGAGGTCACGGTTTGATTCCTGTTCAGGGCACGTGCCTGAGTTGCGGGCTTGATTCCCAGGAGGGGACCTTCGGGAGGCAGCCAATCCATGATAGAAAGATCATTGATCTTTCTAGTTCTCTCTCCCTTCCTCTCTCTGAAATCAATAAAAACATTTTTAAAAAGGATGAGTATGAAAAGGCAGGTCCTAAATTAATAACCATCTTTTTAAATAATTTAACACATTGAAACTGAAAAATGGTTTAACACATCAGCTCCTAGAGCAATAGAGACTTCTCACGTGCTAAGTAAAGCATTGGCCAAGGGTGCCACTGAATTAACTAAATGGAGCCGGAGCCTAAATGATTCACCGAGTCCTGATTCTGGCTGTGCCGTGGGTATTGTTTCCATCTCTCCTGGGCTGGACAGGATTCTGGTTTACCGAGTACGGTTAGCGAATGTAGCATCATTTGTTATTATTCAGTTCATTTATTTGCTGTTTTGTGTTGTTTTTTTTTTTCCTTCTTCTCTTGGGTTATCTGCGGATAACAATGTAGCCGCTCGGCCCAAAAAGGACAAAAGGAAGAAGACAGACAAGTCACCAGCGGCCCGCCCGGCTTGGTGGAAGCGCCTTCAGTGCTGGTCATCCTCGGACATCCCACCCCCTTCTAAATAGGCTCTCCCTTTCCCAGACACTCGAGATTCCTTTCCCTTTACCAGCTCCTCACCAAATACCCTCCCTCATTTATGAGGGAAAAAAAAGGAAAACCACCAATGACCCGTACGGAAAGGCCAGAGGACCCATAGTGGCCCCTCCTCCTGACCCCACAGCAGCTCCCGAGCCTTCAAACTACCAACGTGCCTCTGAGGACAACGGCCTCCTCTCCCGTCCGCCTGCGGTGCCTGGAGCGGCTGTAGAACGAGGAAAGGGGTTCCCGTGCTGCTTCCATTTGTCCCGTTAGTGACGACGCTGCGCCAGCCCTAAGGGTCACCCCATGTGGAACTCCTGTCTGACGCTCCGGCCACTGGAATCTTGTGAACAAATGCACTTTGGCCTGGGGATGCTCACACTGCAGTGACAGACCGACATCCCCGAGGCCGCCACTCTGTGAGCGTGCCCCTTAGGACACGTGTTAGCTACTTCACCTGCATTTAAGCGTGCATGTGCGTGTGCGGGTGAGCAGATACACGCACGCACGCACTCTCTCGGGCTGGGCCTCGTGGTCCGGACACCCGACTCCCTCTCCCAGAAGCCTGCTGGTCCCAGGAGAAGCCCAGACCAGCCAAACGACAAAGACCTTGAGGTCCTGGTGGACCCTGGTGTCAGGCTCACTGTTAACCCAGAGCATTGCCAAGTCAGGCCTGGGCCCCACGTCCTTCAGGCCAGGGCGGTCTTCCAGGCAGGTGGCCTCAGGCTTTGCCCCTCTCCAGCTGGCTCCTGGGCCACCTGCTCACTTTTCTGTAAACACTGGGTCTGCCCAGCCTGGGCGATGGGGCAAGAAAAGCCCTGCCCGCCCCCTCCCAGCAAGTGTCCACAGTGTGCAGAGGGGAGCGTGTGTGAGAGGCCTGATTTGAAAGTGGCTGCAGCGCCCCAGTGTCCCCATCGAGCATGAGACTTTATTATTCCTTGAGTGACTTCCTGGGGTGGAAACCAAATTTAACCTATTGCGTACATGTGTTCACCCTCGTGAAATAGATGTGCTTTGAGGTGTCCCCCCAAATATATATACTACAGGGTGTCCCCCCAAATGTAAATACACTTTCACAGCTGATAACTCAGTTTTCACTCCATTTCAGGGTTAACGGATTTGACGTAATGGGTGAAGCCAGACTAAGCTTTGAACAAAGGAGATGCATCCTCTGGACTTGCTTCTGGGGACACACAACGGATGAGGTGTCTGGTCCCGAACGGGCCACAGTGCGGGCATTGAGGCCGCTGTGGACAGAGGATGCGCACACACAGAGCAGCGGCTCTCGGTGTTTGCGATGCCATTGCTTCCTCAGCAGCAGCGCCAGAACTGAGGCGAGCGATGGAGGCGCCAACACCAAGACCCAATCCTTCGGTGGGCGTGTGTGCGCATCGCTCTCCACAGCTGCCCTGGACTCCTCGCCGTTGTCTGTTGTCTGCCGTCGACTTTTGTCTGTTATGTGTCCCCATGAAAAGCCTAGTGCAGAAATTTTCTTGTTCAAAGCTCAGTCTGGCTTCACCCATTTCTTCAAGTGAGTTAAACTTAAAAAGGTGAAAATTCAGTGAATTGTCGGCTGTTAAAGTGTGTGCACATTTTTTGGAACTCTACCATCCGTTCCATTGGGGGTCCTTCTCTTCCACCAGAGTCGCACCTGTGTGTACATTTTGGGGGGGACGCCCTATATGTTCAAAAGGCAGCCATTCTATTCCTTCGGGAGTTAATTTATTATTTCTTTTCACTGTGTGCACATTTTTTGGACCACCCTATATTTACATTCCATAGGGAGTCATTCATGTTTATCAGGAGTCTGACCTGTGTACCTTTCTTGGGGGGCACTCCATGTTTATATTCAATAGGGAGTCATTCATGTTTATCGGGAGTCTGACCTGTGTACCATTCTTGGGGGGCACTCCATGTTTATATTCAATAGGGAGTCATTCATGTTTGTTGGGAGTCTAACCTCTGTGTACCATTCTTGGGGGACACTCCATGTTTATATTCCATAAGGAGTCATTCATGTTTATCGGGAGTCTGACCTGTGTACCATTCTTGGGGGCCACTGTGTTTGAGTTCCATAAGGGGTCAGTTGTTTGCGTCGGGAGTCTCACCTGCTGCTGTGTGTTTGGCCGGATTCCTGACACATTTTGTTTCCTCTTGCTACTGACGGTGCTCATCGTGGGATGTACTAAACCTGGTGATTGGGGTTTTATAAAGATTTTCTCCGTTTGAGCTGAAGTACTGAGAAATGTTAACATGGTCAATTGTCGAAGTGCTTTGGGTTGTATATTAAATAGCCATTGATTCTGGAATACAAGGACGGGTTTGTAATAAAATGAGATGTTGTAGAATTGAGTTCTAGTTTTTCTCACCATTTCGTCACTGGCAGCGTTTTGGGGGTGTAGGGTCTCTGGGCTCCCTGCTTAGCCCCCCAGTCTCCCCAGCCCCTGGAATCCACCAGCTCCCTTTGCCACAAGGTCAGAGCATGGGAAAGCGAGGTTTCCTGTTTACCATGCAACAGCGTTTATTTTACGTTCCTATTAGTTGAATCCCATTTTTATATGGGATTTATATCAAAACAGGAGGTAAGCTTAAAGTGATCCATTGGATTTTTCCAAGCCTACTCAACCAGGAAGTGTCAGAAGAAGAAGGCAGGGAGGAAGGCATGTAGAGATCCCCTCCTGACCTAATCTAATGGTGTTCTGTCCAGCTGTCTCCTGCATGTCCCCTTCCTTCCTCACCAGCCCTCTCCTGTAAGGTGCCTCCTCTGGCCTCCTTCCCCATTCTTTCCTGAGGTCCTGCAACTGTGGGAGCTGCCCACTCAGCCTAGCTGCCCTCCCCAATGCTTTGAGCCAAACTAGCAGCACCACCTGCAGGCCTCCTCCCTGCACCTTTGGCTTTTGCAGGCTCTGACACTGGCCAGTCACCCCTTGGAGCTCTCAGCCTCTGTCCCATGATTCTCCTCTGGGACAGGGCTCACACTTGCCAGTCGCTCTGTCACTCACTCATTCCTTCCACAAACACTCATTGAATGCTTCCACCATGGAGGTAGCTCCCTCCAGGCCCCCTCTGCAGGGTTGACCACCTGTTCCCCTAGGTCTGAAGCTCCACTCCTAAGCTTCAAGCCTGAGGTCGTCTGCCTTAGATCCCCTGTCCAGGCTACAGGCTTCCTCCACTCTCCCTGGCTCCTCTGGGCTCCCTAATTATTCAAGCAGACCAGCAGTCAATCACAGAAGCCAAAAGCCTGTGGTGCAGGCTGGACCCCACCTCTCTCCATATCCCACATTTGATAGGTCCCCTGAACCTGAGAATGTCTGTGGAATCTTCCCACTCCATCTTAGATGACTGTTCTCATCACAGGTCCCATACACACCCCATTCCCTGGGTCTTGGCAGGGGCTTATCAGCTGGTCTGTCTGTGTCCCTCAACTTTTCAGCCCCATGCAAACTCTTGGCATTCACCCTGGGTGACCTTCCTTTTTGAACCTTCCCTCCCTCAGCCTCCACACTAGCTACACCATTTCTTTGCGGTCTAGCTTCTTCATGGGTCACTTCAGGGTGCACCCAGCCCTCTATCACCCCCACCCTCCAGCCCAAAACAAGCTCATACACATCCGCCACTTTCATTGCAATCTTCCCAGAATGCTCGAAACACCTCAAGCCCCAGCCTCTCCTGGGAACCTCCAGATCTGTTTCCAGCTTTTATGTCCCAAAGACACCTCCAACTCAAAATGCTCAGCACATGATTCACCATCCTCCCCCCACCAAAGCGTCTTTGTTCATCTTCTCATCACCTCTGTCCCCTTCCCCCAGACCATGCTGGGCATCCCCCTCTCTCTTCCCCGTGTCCTATCCATCACTCCCTCAGCTGCTTCCAACTCTGATGTCTCGCTCACATACTCAGCCAACCCAGGTGGTGGGCCCCCCTAGGCAGTACCATGTGGTCCCATTGCTGAGGGGGCATCCCAAACCATACCCCACTGAGCTCCAGAGATGCACCTCTACCCTGGCCTGAGAGCTCTGTGATCTGGGGGGTGGGAAATATCCAAGTGACAGCTCAGGGCCGAGGTCTGCCTGCAGAGAGGGTGGGATCGCCTGTGGCACCAGAGGGGCTCTCCCTGGGAGAACAGCAAGGTGAGAAAATTAGAAAACGTTGGCCAAACCTTGGGAAGGAAGCATCCAGCCAAATGTTTATCAACCAACCAGAGAGAGAGGAGGCACTATGTTTATCTGTATGCACAACACACATACATACACATGTATATACACATGTATGCACACAGCTCATTGATTCCCTTAGAAAGCTCTCATTGATTTTGCCAAACAGGTGTATTGATAGCCCACCTATGCTTGCCCTCGACTGACAGATGAGTGTGGTTCCAACGTGAATGTTGGATGATGTTTTCTTTCTTTCTTTTTTTTTTTTAAATATATTTTATTGATTTTTTACAGAGAGGAAGGGAGAAAGATAGTTAGAAACATCGATGAGAGAGAAACATCGATCAGCCGCCTCCTGCACATCTCCTACTGGGGATGTGCCCGCAACCCAGGTACATGCCCTTGACCGGAATCGAACCTGGGACCCTTCAGTCTGCAGGCTGACGCTCTATCCACTGAGCCAAACTGGTTTCGGCGATGTTTTCTTTTATGCTGTCAAGTAAAGCGAGCTGAAGGTGTCTATGAGAACCTCACTCAATCAGGTAGTCCTTTTCTCAATGGCAGCCCAAGTCCCTCAAATTCTTATACTGTATTTGTATTGTAATGCCTACAGACATTTTTTTAAAAACCAGAGATACAATGTACATATCACAATATTCACCCAAAACATACTTTTAAGTTTAATCTTGACTTTTAACATTTTCTCCATCACTCTTATGTCTAGACACTGAAGAAAACAAATCAAGCCCAGATTTGGTAACATTTGCCAATTTCCTCGGTGTCAATATTTTCACTACAGCTGATTTCAAGCTGCCAACCTGTTGTCCCTACGCACCAAGATGGGACTAGAGGTGCGGTGCCACCTGTTCTATCATATCACCTCCACGCAGGTACCATAGGTATGAATAACCCAAGAGCAT